ATTTCTTGAATGAACGCGATCGTAGAGTGAAAGATACCCCGCAAGAGCCAATAATCAAGCATGGTTTAAAAATAATTTCAAAAAGTGACAGTAACATTTTAATGAAATAAGCACATCAGATTTTAATGAAAAAGGGTTTTCCAATGCTACAGCGTTTCAACGAAACAAATCGTACCTTAATCAGCAAAACTTTCGGACGGTCTCATTCCGGACGTTTGATATTCGGACAGAAAATTTCGGGCCAAAAAATCTTGATTTCGGACAATTTCAGTCAAAAATTTCGGACAAAATGAAATAGACGCCAATTAATTTCGGATAATATCTTCAAGTTTCATGACGCAACACATTAATGTGATAGCGAACAAAGCGCAAATGATTAAGTATCTGAATGCAGTTTTATGTTGTATCAAGATCGAGGAACGGTTTTTCTGGTTCCATTGTTGAATAATAGGGCCATTCATTAAAGACACATTGAAGTCTCTTTTGATCAGATCTGGTTTGTTTTGCAGTCATACAAACCAGTCAATTGCATGTACGGACTTGGTAGATTAGATATAGTTCTGATTTCCTTGCCTACGACAGTAACAGTTTTTTCATCTGATTAACCAAAAGTATTATATTGAGATCTGAAAATGCAGTCAAGTTTTAAAGAAGTTATTGGTTGCAGTGGCTGGCATTGTATTGTAAAGGTTTGCGACAGAAAGTGAAATAGTCAAACACAGAAAAATACAAAATGAAGAATTTGGAGAAAGCTAGGGCGCTAAACATTTTTGATGATGAGCATACTGACGACAAGAATGAATCAAGCAATTCAAATGACGAGAAAAGTCCTGTATTCGTATTTGATGACTGCAAGTAGCATGCATTTCTAAGATAGCTAAAAGAACTAAATATTTTCATACTTTCTTCCTATTTCGTGTCTACCTGTATTGGTATTGCAGTTTCGCAATTATCAACGTTTCCTGGCCAATAAATCATATTATAATCTTGGGGGAGTACACTTCTCAAAGGTTTTTATATTGTTTATTGGCAGTTAAATTGTCGGACGGTGGGAAATTCTAACGGTAAAAGTTTCAGACGGTAAAATTTTCGGACCGTGAATTTATTCAAAAATTTAACCGTCCAAAATTTTTGGGGATTAATGTATCTTTCGTTTAGTTTATGGTAGTTTTATACATTGTGGTTTGGAATAAAACGTGTTTGAACATTTCATCACTGCACAAATTCAATTTCATTGCTACAAACATTCCTCTCATCGTGGACAAATTGGTCATCAGTGATTACATTACTGCAGCTTAGAATATTGCTGGTTTTTATGATCAATATGTTATGTCTATCTGCAATCTTCAATGCCTGCCAAAAGTACTTGGAACACCCACCAATTTACGCTGCATTTGATATCTTTCATTCCTTTCATGAAAAAAATTTGCTACTTCCGCCCCCTTCCCCCTCAAACAATGTTGATGATTTAGAGAAATATCATAAAAGAAGCGCAAAAGAAAGTGCTTCCTAAAATCCTAGTCCGTTTGATAGTAAACCAACATTGTTCCGTGGGGGAGAGGGGGATGATTGGTTTTGACCTTGGAAATTGATGTCAGTGTTCCAAGACTTTTGGCAGGCATTGTCTGAAAATTTTCTCGAAAACAGCAATCTGCGATACCAAAACATTGTGCTACCCTAGGGTTTTCGATGGTGCTGATCTCAATGCTACTAATGAAAATTCGAAATTTTCACTCTTTACCCAGTTAAAAGGGGGGGAGGGGGTTTGGACTCTGAACGATTGATATAGTAGATATCCGAGTATTGTTATTTGTTACAAAAAACATTCTACTGATTTTTTCCGTCAATATCATTTAAATCATTATTGAATACAAGTATTTTGTGCAGAATTCGATCATCGGTTTAAGAAAACTATCAATTTTCAAAGGAAAAACAGTACAGTTTAGTGCTTTTGAAAAAGTGTTTTTTTCTGAAAAGTCCCCTTATTTATGGTTTAATTATTGATGAAAAAACAAAAAAATTAATGTGAATGTCTACAAACCATGCATGATCTAAATAATTGCGAACAACATGCTGGTGAGAAACTGTTCAAATGGCTCAATTTTATCCACCATAACCCTCCCAAAACCATCTACGAATTTAATAAATTTGCTTAGGCTATGCTCCTTCGCATTCACATGTGGCAACATGGTAGCGCTCATAGACACCCCATTCCCTATTATTTTCTATCTTCCCTTGTCCCAGTAATTGGAAAATGGTTTGTGCCAATTATAATTGTTCGTTTTCCATTGTTAAAGTATGCTAGGAATTGAAAGAACGCTCCTTTCCTAATGGGCACGTGATGTAGTATGAAAATGCCTATTGCCAATGGTTACCAACGGTCTACAGCCACGGTCTACACATTTAAAATGTTCATAAAAATCGTATTTTTCAAAGAAAGTAGACGAAACCTCGTCAGTAGGTGTGCATGGCTAGTATAAAAATATTGTAGGTTTTCAGATCGATACAAGTTGTAAAACTGAAGAAATTCAGGAAAGTGTCAACGGTCTACACTTTCTGAGAATTGAATTTGAAGTACTCTAGATCTTATTCTCCTTTTGAGTGTAGACCGTGGGATTTTCGTCATATTTTGCCGTTTTCTTCATGGAATTCAAACAAAGGTTAATTTTATCTTTGAGGGGTATTATTATACACCTTTTGGGTGAATTTGGGGGCAAACCTCCCCCTGACAAGTCAGAAAATTGCGAAGAAACAGCCACGGTCTACACAACGGTCTACAAGCGTTCATTTCCGAGGGTGAGAGTTGCCTTGCGGGGCCTTGTCCTTCACATCGACGCGCGCTACATTCGATGAAATAAGATATTTTGCTATGGCAAATGTCAAGCAAACATATACAGCAATCAATTAACGATGAAATAATCTGCCTTGCGCTTTATGAAGATAAATATAGCAGGTAGAGTCTAACTTAAAGGCCATTTTGGCAATGCAGTAACAGTAGGGAAGAGGGCTTTCTTTGTAGTGCTTCTGGGCCAAGCATTTAGGAGCGCAGGAAGGCGAGTGGATGTCAGTTTTATTTCAGTTCCCTTACCAACCAACATGGAATAGTAGATCAATCAGTTGGGAACTCTGATGTGGGAAACACGGGGTTCCTTTCTACAATTTAGGTAAACACTCTGAAATTTGTCATTTGGGCACTGAATTGCACAACAAGGGCCTATATGAATGACAACTTGTAAATCCGTGATAAAAGGAGAGCAACTACCCGACATAATTCTCAAATACGACCTTATCTATAATTAGAAACATGAAACAGAGGAATCGATGTCACTTTTATAAAATTGCATCCTTTCCATTTTAGATTATTTTCTAGCTGCCACTCATATTTGTCTCCTTCATCTATCCCATTATTTCTTAGACAGCCATCTGGCTACGAGCCTTTGAAAAGATTCAAAATACAATCTTGATCTTATTTATTGGAAATCGATTTTGATTTTAGCAATTTTCACCTTAATTGAAATATGGCATTTAGTTTTATGGGGGTAGCTTACTCCCACCCCCGAAAAGAGACAATACCCCCATATCTCCTTATCGGTAACACGTACGATGTTGAAAATGGCAGAAATGGAATCAGCACCATCAAAAACCTATAGGAGGATATTGGTTTTGGTGGAATATCTAATAAGCTTCAAAATGAAATTCAGACAATGCCTGCCAAAAGTACTTGGAACACCCACCAATTTACGCTGCATTTTATATCTTTCGTTCCTTTCATGAAAAAAATTTGCTACTTCCGCCCCCTTCCCCCTCAAACAATGTTGATGATTTAGGGAAATATCATAAATGAAGCGCAAAAGAAAGTGCTTCCTAAAATCCTAATCCGTTTGATGGTAAACCAACATTGTTCCGTGGGGGAGAGGGGGATGATTGGTTTTGACCTTGGAAATTGATGTCAGTGTTCCAAGACTTTTGGCAGGCATTGTCTGAAAATTTTCTCGAAAACAGCAATCTGCGATATCAAAACATTGTGCTACCCTAGGGTTTTCGATGGTGCTGATCTCACTGCTACTAATTAAAATTCGAAATTTTCACTCTTTACACAGTTAAAAGGGGGGGAGGGGGTTGGGACTCTGAACGATTGATATAGTAGATATCCGAGTATTGTTATTTGTTACAAAAAACATTCTACTGATTTTTTCCGTCAATATCATTTAAATCATTATTGAAAACAAGTATTTTGTGCAGAATTCGATCATCGGTTTAAGAAATTTATCAATTTTCAAAGGAAAAACAGTACAGTTTAGTACCTTTGAAAAAGTGTTTTTTTCTGAAAAGTCCCCTTATTTATGGTTTAATTATTGATGAAAAAACAAAAAAATTCATGAGAATGTCTACAAACCATGCATGATCTAAATAATTGCGAACAACATGCTGGTGAGAAACTGTTCAAATGGCTCAATTTTATCCACCATAACCCTCCCAAAACCATCTACGAATTTAATAAATCTGCTTAGGCTATGCTCCTTCGCATTCACATGTGGCAACATGGTAGCGCTCATAGACACCCCATTCCCTATTATTTTCTATCTTCCCTTGTCCCAATAATTGGAAAATGGTTTGTGCCAATTATAATTGTTCGTTTTCCATTGTTAAAGTATGCTAGGAATTGAAAGAACGCTCCTTGCCTAATGAGCACATGATGTAGTATGAAAATGCCTATTGCCAATGGTTACCAACGGTCTACAGCCACGGTCTACACATTTAAAATGTTCATAAAAATCGTATTTTTCAAAGAAAGTAGACGAAACCTCGTCAGTAGGTGTGCATGGCTAGTATAAAAAATATTGTAGGTTTTCAGATCGATACAAGTTGTAAAACTGAAGAAATTCAGGAAAGT